ATGCCAGTTTTTCTCACATGCCCCGTCGGCGCCTTGCAAAATCTGGGTTGCACCATGCAACCTCTGCTCCACGTTTAAATGTAATACCAGGTGTGTAACGTGTGTCTGTTTTTGTTTAATAGTTGGTTAAGTATCTTACTAGTCTCTGTGGGTAAGCATATGTTCAGGTAATTGCAATATATGAATGTATATGTGCTTGCATTTATACATCTTACCTCTGTCAATGTGTATAAGATATATTTATGTGTGTTTGAGTTTGTGTGTGCATGTGTGTGTATGAGTGTTTGTATTTGTTTTTCTTTGGAAGCAAATGGAAGAAAATAGTTTCTTATTGTTAGTAAAGCAATAGGAGAATGTGTACTTATGCTGAATTCTTTATTTACATCTTGTCCAGTAAGATCATCCTCTTTTTAGTTTTAAGGATAAGAATACATTCCAGTCTCTTGTTTTCTAGTTGAATCATTTTAGTGAAACACATTACTGTTGATTATGCACATTAAAAGAAAAGAAGAGAAAATCTAGTACAATAAAGTCATTTACACATGAGATATACTGCAGTTGTAAGAGGAAATTCAAAGCACAAATGAAAATGTAACAAAAGGCTCAGCTGAATACTGGCAGTCACCTAGAGCCAGTGCTTCATTTTCCTGCCATTATGTAAAGGATGTTTCATGGCATTACCCTTTTTAAATCTTGAAATGGTAGTATTAGCATAGTAGTAATTTATGCAAATGGTTTCATAGACTACATTATATTTACTCATATTGGATGTTCATAAACTATGTGTAAGCCAGGACCCTATAGTAATACTTGTTTAAAGAGGAGAGTGTGTTATTTGGATGATCTGAAATGGAATGGGAATACATTTTTAGGATTATTTGGATGATATGCAAATGAGGCTACAAAGGCTCATCAGAAAAGCAGAATGGCATTAGAGATAAAAGCAGATAAGATGAGCAAGGTGTATTTACCAACTTTAACTGACATCATCATACTGTCTTCTTCCATTCATTGTTTCCTAACCAGTTGAATATTCTAAGTGCAGCATCTATTTGACAGGCAATGGTCTCCATAGCTTTAGCTTCTCTCCGGGGCTATCCAAAGGATCATTTGGTACCTCCCAGAGTGCCCCTAGTGGCCAGTGGCTCTTCCGTAACTTTGTGGGTGGTGGGAGCTGTGGCACTGTCTTCCCAACCACAATTGTTAACCCAAACAAAGCTGTACTTACAATTGATTCCTCCTCTAAGGTAAGAGGCTGGTACCTTAATTATCATTTTTATTGTCATCTATTTTTAAAAGATGATGCATAAGGCTAGTAACATTTTATTTTTCAGTGTATATTTTTAGATTGGTACAACAACGCTTTCATTTATAGAATAAGCTTTCATGGCTGGCGGACACAAGCGTGTTTCTGAAGTTCAAGCAAGCTCTGTTCTTGAAATAGGAATCAATACAGATCTAAAAGTACAGAGCAAAAGCAGGGCCGAATAGAACCTAAGCCCATAAGCTTAGCTGTAGGGAAGGAAGGGGGATGTTTTATTCTTGGGTGGTTGCTTTCTTGCAATTTACAGTAATATCAATTGAAAAGACGTTGCAAAATTTTAAAAAGCATGAACTGAACGATCTCTTGTCTCATGCTTTTTCCCTCTGCTGAAACAGGATCCTGCTTCAGGTACAGTAATGTTATTGTACAGTGTAAATGATCTAGTTCGTGTGCAGTGAAACGGGTGATTTATTACACATTTTCAGACCTCAATTATTTTCATACTGATATGAACATTCTAGATCTGAACCTGTTTTTTTTTTTTTTTTTTTTTTTTTTCCCAGTCCCTTATTAAACAGCATGTTTTATAGTCTCCAGCAAAGTTACTCTTGATACTTCCATTTCTAATGTCTTTTTTATTGTTATTTAGTATTTATTAGCTGCATTTCACATGCCACACCTTTTTAGTATTATAATAACCCATTTTTCACCTAGCAGCACATGAGTTCATGCTTTCCTGATATAGATATAGTGCAGTTCAGCACCAATTTTAAACATCATTATTGACTTTTAAAGATCCTATGAAGTTGAATAGTTGTTCATAGTTTTAGCAGCACAATGTGTGGAGTGAATAAAGACTTTTGTGGTGGACATTCTCAAAAAACAGAATATGCATGTTGCTAATACATAACTCAAGTAACATGAGTCTAAGTGTAGAGTATTTCAACGAAAATAGTATTTTAGAAGGCAAAATACTTTTCTTGGAATATTAGTGGATACCATGTGTAAGATCTTAGTTTGCTTATGGAGGTAAAGAAGAAACATTTTAATGGTGTATGAAAAAGCCCATTGGTGAACTTAGCTGTAATCAAAGAATAAGGAAAGGCGGACAAACTTTCAGTAGGACCATAGCACCTCCATGGCTTGTACAAAAAAAAGATGTTGAAATTAATCAAAGAATTTGTGATCCTTACAAGTTTTGAAAAAGTTGTTGCCATGCTTCAGGCATTGATTTCATTTTAGGTATTAATGTCATACTGTGAGTTGTACCTCAAAAAGTAATTTTTAGAAATTAGATTTCAATCACAAGGTTATGGTATGTTCATTTTAAAATTAGATTTTATATAACATAATTTTGACATTTTAACGTGAGTTAGGAACTTTATTTATAACTTGACTGAAAACTGAGAGTAAAGATGATGGTAATGGTATGAAGTGTCATCACATAAATCTCATCAATTAATCATTATGACAATGATACAGATTAGTTACATTACATATGGGGATGAAAAGAAGCCAGACAAGGGCTCATTTTAACAACAGTCCCATCCTTTCAGATCCTGACAGCAAATGATATGTCCTCATTGCTCCTTGGCCACCCAGAGGATGAGTTGTGCGGCACCATGAAACTGACGGACTTCATTACCAATCCCGAAACGCAAAAAGCTCTCAGCTCCCTTGCAAGTTTGAGCCCCATGTCGGAGGGCATCTGCATGGAGAATTCCCTTCACACACTGCCAGAGCCTGATATATTAGACAATCAAGGAATGGTGCTCTTTAGTGGGAAAGTTGTGAGTGAACTATGCTATATTTTTTAATAATATTATTTGATATCAGTCCATATCACTGCAGCATCAGACATGGCACTATTTACTGTAATCCAGGCACTTAGAGTAAAGAAGAAAAAAAAATTCTTTTTTCTTTCTTTTCTTTTCTTTTCTTTTCTTTTTCATTTTACTAATTGAACCAAGTTCTGTAAAGTGAATTTTCTCCATGTGTCATCTTTTTTAGGGTATTGAAATAAGGCAATTAGTTTTGAGTTACAATTGATACTGTAAATGTTTTTAGATTTTATGATTTGATCATGAGAGACTTTTATTAGGTAGACTATTCTTAACATATTTCTCTTTTTCCAGGTGGATGTAGATACGTATGACAATGGCACTCTCCCATGTTCCTTATGGCTGAAGGGACTACCTCAGGAGACAGATGAAGACCAGAGATGGATTGCTGTCCTAGAACCTGTAGATATTACTGTTGCAAAGGTAATGAACTTTTCTCCTTTCAAAAATATTCAACTAGTTTTATCTTTGAGGCGTAAGAGGGAAATACTTATGACATTATAGATACACTGAGTTTTGCTTAATTTTCTGTTTTCAGGCTTCAGTTGACGAAACAGGCCGTATCTTGAAGCATGACTCCTCATTCAGTGCTCTCTTTGGGTATGCAGATAACAGTGAACTCACCAAACTCAATATTTGTGATCTTATACCTGCTCTCCAGGTGCCCACTAGTCCTCATGACATGCCTAAGGTAAGTGACAGTGCTAAATTTATCTTTTAAATGGCTTGTATAATCTGGATCCCTTCTATGTTGTGTTAAAGAAAATGGTATGTGATTATTTGTCTGGTAATGTATGACCACAATAATGTGTGATCTAAGTGATGCCCAGACTGACCACAAAATGTTCTAGGAGATAGCTGTGTTTAAGAAGAATGTAGCAGCCAAAATTAGGAAGATTGAAAGGAAACAGCCACTAAAAGAAGGGAAACAAGTAATCCATTTTTAATGTTTCACTTCCCAGTTTGACCATATTTCCTTTCATTTCGTTATGAAGTACTGTACGTCTTCTGGGAAAACTTATAACAAGTTACTGTAACTTTTTACATCAAGATAGAATTACCCAAATATGAAATATTCTTAATTTTGTTTGAAAGATATGTGCTTGTGTTGCCAATTTTAGATTGTTAATGATATGCAGAAAAAAATCACCAAAATTGAGATCAGAAATTTAGAAGAGAAAGGACAAGAAGTAAGTGAAAAAAGGTTGCAATATTCATTGTATAAAAGAGATACAATGTTGCACAGACCATTGCATCCACTACCAAAATTTTCTTTAGTCCCAACAGGAAAACTCTGCAACCTATTGGCATTGGAGCTTCTTAAATGTAATGATAAGTCTGGAGTCTATTATTGTGCACGGCTCTATGTGAATTTTCATTTTGATTTTAAAAGATAAAGTTAATGCAAGTAGAGGCTGGGCTTATGTGGGTTGGAAGTACATTACATAAACTTAATACTAGATGAATTGTGATAATAAATGGAGAATACTTGCACGTACCTTAATTTTGCCCTATGTAAAAACCTTACTTTTGCAATGATCCCCAATTTGGAAGGAAAGTTTAAATTGGAATAACAGGTAAATTAAACTGGATATTTCTGATAAAAAACTAAACTTTTGTGTGTGTATTTTTTTTTTTTTTTTTTTACCCTCGGAAACTTAAAATGAATGCTTCAAAATTGCATGCTAGAATCTGTATTTGCAGAATTAGTCTTCATCCTGCCATATATGTATAACTGCACCTAGTATTGGGCTTGATCAAAGTGAATTTTTGACATTTTCCCCAAGTAATTTCAAAGATATAGAATCCTAATTACACATTTATAGTTTCTTCTAAATTTCTATTTATGCTATGATTATGGAAAGTTCAGTAACCCAATTAACACTAGAATCCCTGAATGTTAAATTACTCTCCAAAGATCATATTAGAGTAGAGGAACTGGCAATGAAAGTCCTTTAGGTAGAATTTCAGAACTATCAGAAAAGTATTTTGTCAGCACTTTTTTTTTTTTCAATTGTTTAGTATGTTTAAGAAGTTATCTCATTACACTGCAGGAAAAGTTTATTATGATAAGAAATAGCTATATTGATTTATTTGTATCATGTCAGATTGTCAGTAGTTCCAATTTCTCTAACATTTTCAGAACATTACTAACAGAGTTTTATGTAGCCCATGTAACCACTTCATTTGCCTATAGCAGAAGTTAATATGTGTGATGTACAACAGGATGTGGAGAAGCAGCAGTGTACGGGACAGACGGTGGACTGTGCTACGTTCCCCCTTTGTGCGCACTTTACAGTTAATAACACCAACAACGATTACACCCAAAGAAAATATGTCTTTGATCTAGAAATATGGGTAAGTGTTTTCCTCCTCCTCCTCCTCCCTTTTTCTTTATTATCATCATCCTCATGGTAGGTTATTAAACCTTTCATGTCTTTACTGCTACAAAAAAAATAATGAATAAATAAATAAATAAAAATAAAGAACATTAAAAAAAAGTCATATATAGGTATATGAATGTGATATAAAAAGATCGACTTCTTTTGCAGGTGTTCTCTAACATCAGTGGACTGGTGGTTTTGGATGCTGCAGGGAAAATCAGCGATTACAATTATAACTTCACAAGACTTTTATTTGGCTATGGCAAGAGAGAACTTGAGGGAGAGGTAAGGAAATGTACTTTTTTCTTCTCTCTCTTTTGTGTGCTTGATTTATCTGTTTTGTTGTTATTATTTTTAGTTATTTTATTCAGCTTTAAATTTAGAAACCAGAAAATGCCAGTTTTATTCTATGTATTTACTAGAAGTTACATATGTTATTAGAAGTTACATATCTTAATGATTGTATATAGAGCTATAGATAGATTGAAATATAACATTTCATAAGTGAATATTCTATCTTTTCAGGATATAACTCATCTTATACCAACCTTCTTTGATGATGTTGCATTGATTCAAAAAATGAATAGCCCGTCCTTTGACTCAGATGACTCGGATTCAACTCTTAGTGATAATGAAACTGAAAATCAGAAGGAAAATAAGGAGGTACAGTTGTCTTGATAACATATGTCTACATCTGTATGTATGTGTGTGTGTTTGTGCGCACACACATGCTCTCATGCATGCATCGCATCTTTAAACAACAAAAAAATTTTAATGTTATAAATAAATCTTAAAAATTGGAAAAAGAAATATTAAGTTTTTCTATTTGGTTTCAGAGAACCAATGGACCTCTATTCACAAAAAGTAAACAGAATGAAGCAGCAACAACGTTGATGTCTGAGCCATCATCAATATCTACCCCAAACCGTGGATTTATTGCTTCAGAAAGGTTACTTGATTTACAAATGTGTCTCACAGTGATATCTTTGAACATTTTATTTAAATATTCACACAAATGAAATTAATCTTGTAATTTGATTAAATTTTTAATTTATGGGCACTTATGGCCAGTGATTGTTATTTTTACCACATTGTGTATTTAGATGCTTTACATTATAGATCATTATTTTTGATGGAAATGTTTCACCTTGATTTGAAATGATAACCATAGCAGTGTGAAATCCCTTGAACATGTTTTTAAGTTTATATTTCAATCCTTTGCCTCTAAGCGTACCATTTTAGGATATTCATACCATCATTCAAGTTCTATTCTATATTGACAGTAAGCTTCAGGGATCACTCTACGGATCAACTTTTAACTCCACTTCTAACGTCACAAGCACGGGGGACAACAGCCAGAATTCGTCTCAGAATAACAAGGCCATGAGAGACATCACCAACTCCATGAATATACTCAGCATCAGCCAGCAGGTTGTTGTTACATACTTTATGCTGTTGTTGTTGGCATTTTTATCCATATTGGAAAATTTTGAATATTTTTGCTTTCTTTCTTTTTTTGTTTGTTCTTTTGTCATCTTTCCTCTTCTTTTTTCTTTTTTCTTCTTTTCTTATTTTATTTTTGTTATCTTTCCTTTCCTTTACTATCCTTTTCTCTTCTTTTCTTTTCTTTTCTTTCTCTTCTCTTCGTCTTCCTCTTCTTTTCCTTATTTCTTCATTTTATCCAGACAGTAAAAGACTCCTTTTCACTGCAGAATGTTTCAAATCAGACAAATAACTCAGGCTTACAAGGAAGTCCCACCAAAACAAGGACAGTAAAAGACAGAGAAAATGCATCTGACGAAAGTCTTCCCAAGGTTTGTCACCATCTTTGTACATTACTTATGTCATATTGTTTGAACACTGAATGTTTCTCCCTTTTGCAATTCACACATATTTCTATCAAATATTGCTTAAATATATTACTTAATACATGTATGTATTGTAAATATTTTTTACTTTTGCAGCTTCCTACTTTAGAATTTATTAAGGCAAAGATAATACTCTACACATCATATTTTTCCCCCACTAGGTACAAATAGAGGTGTATCCAGATCTTCCCCAGGACATGCTTCCTGAGGATATGGTCACTTCTACGCCTGCTGTGGGTCGGATGAGAGGCCACAGCCAAGTTCATACCATTGAAGAAGGCAGTTTCTTTGGGGTTGGAAAGCATAAGGATGGATCTGATCTTGGTTTGTGATTTCTTTCTTTCTTTTTATCTGTGTATGTTTGTATTAGCTTTTCTCTGTTTTCCCTGGTCATGTATTAACTCATTTGAAATCATTTTTATCACGATCTAGAGGGGTAAATACATTTTCCATGTATAATTGTCATTATTCCTTAGCAAGATAAGTCAGCAGACTTCATATTTTCATACTCAATTTGATTACTAATTTTTCTTTGTTTACAGTGATCATCTACCAAATTCGTCGAGTGGAGTTAAATGGAGTGAATCACTACTGCGTGTGGATTTTGCGAGATCCAGAAGAACCTGGAGAGGGCCTTCGATCTAACACAAACTTTACCTTAGCTTCAACTTTCAATGAGACAGCAGAATATTCTTTAGGTCATGTAAGTAGCCATGGTCTACTTTATCTTTAATCATGTTTAGAAGTGTTTATATCATAGATGGTGGAGTTGTCTATCTTCTCACTTTCAATATAAATTTTAATTTTGATGGGACATGTATTTTTAAGTAGCCATGATTACTTGCGCATTACCAAATGATTTTCTTTTTGACTCTGAAACTAAACCCTTTACAGGCCATCAAAAACGAGGCTCAGAAGTCAGAGATTGATCTTGAGGATGACTCTGACACATCATCTGATGATGAAGGTGCTGACCACAGTCAGACAAGCACAGACGGCAGCTCAGGAGCAGAATATTCACTCAACCACTCACGGCGAGGCAATCGGGAGTCATCATCTGCTGTATGTTTTCAAGGCCATTCCTGTTTAAATTGTGTTTAGGATTATGATAAGTAATTTGGAATTGTTATGGATAAAGTGAGTTTATAATTTTTGATTTTTTATATTGCTACGGCTTTACTTCACTTCTTTCCCTCTATAAATCATAAATGATGGTATTCTTTATGCAAATTATTGTAACCTGTAACTAAACAAATATTCCAAACAGTGTCCAGAGGAGGGCGAGGATCTACTGCTAGCAGGAGATTATAGCAATCATTACTCGGTCTTACGTCAGATAGGAAAGGGAGCATTTGGCTGTGTAAAGATGAGTTACCGAAACTCTGATGGACTTATGGTAAGGGAATTGATATTCTTTGTTGATTTTAGAAAGGAAATATGTGGATGGACATTTTTAGAAACTGGTCATAAGATTGCTCTTGAAGAAATATTTTGATATGTACATAATGAAAGTTCTTTAGTGATAGTTCTACTTTTTTAGAGTGAATAGTACATTGGACATAGCATATTCTGATGATTTTTCTTTTTCATGTAACACCATGATAGTAACTTTTACATATTGAATTGTAAACACTATGCTATTTTTAACTCTGTGGTGCTTTTTTTCTAGGTTGTAACCAAATTCATCAAGAAGAGTAAAGTTTACCAGGACAGTTGGGTGGATGACCTCCTCCTCCGAAAAAGGGTTCCTCTAGAAGTGTCACTGCTCATGACTCTTGACCATCCAAACATTGTAAGTTTCAGGAATCTTTATGTAATATATGTTTTTTGGAATTGAAAGTGTTGAGCTTTAAATGCAAGTCCTATCTCTTCTGGTTATTTACACATCTCCAGTATAGTTAGTAATGTCCTTGAAGATATTTGGTTTAATACTCATTGCTTAAGTAGTATGATTATAGTATTCTTTTTAAATTTTTGTGTATTCATGTGAAATCTTTTGCTTTGCTCTATCATAGAGTATATGCATTTCTTTCCTTTATTTTCTTTCTTTTATTGTTTGTTTCTTTCCCACTTTCTCTTTCAGTATTATGTTTAATCTTTATTTCTTTTACATGTAATTCAGTAGTTTTTATTATCAGAGCATACTCAGAAAGATATGTGAGGTTTCTTATGGTAAAATAGAATGTGAAGTTAGTATTAGTGTTGATTGAACAATAAATGATGCCAAGAAATGTGATGCTTACAGAAAGAAAATTATACTACATTACATCACTTTATGATATGGCATTGACATGTTCTATGATTCCCACAGGTATCAGTGTTCGACATGTTCGAGAATGATGATTACTTCCAATTAGTTATGGAAAAATGGGGTGCTGGGATGGACCTGTTTGAGTTCATTGATCGTAACCCTCTTCTTGATGAACCTCTTGCTGCTTATATGTTCAGACAGGTTAGTGCTTGGTGAATTCTTTTATAAAAATTGGTATTTACATTCTTTATGAAATTGATCATAATTAAGAATGGTTTTTAAGTCACCTTTGACGACATATATGCTGGTATACTGATAATTAGATTGAACCTAAATTCACCGTTAAACACATTTAGTTCGAAATAAAAAGTATTGATATTGATGAAATTCTTTCAAACTTATCACAAATTCAAGAAGGTAAAAGAATTTATTTTGTCCCCTTTCTGTTTGAACAGATTGTCTCGGCATTAACTTACCTACACTCTCTCAACATCATCCACCGTGATGTGAAAGATGAAAACGTCATCTTGAACAACAGATTCCATGTGAAGCTGATAGACTTTGGTTCATCAGCTTTCACCAAACCCGGCAAAATGTTTTCCCAATTTGCTGGAACTGTAGAGTACTGCAGTCCAGAGGTGCTCAAGGGAAACAAGTGAGTCACAGATCTACATAAACAGTAGCTTCTTGGAAGGCACTATAACATAAAGACAATAAAAAAAAATTGTGAAAGATATTAGAATGTTTCTATTAGAACATTTTAATGATAAGATTATTTCTTTAATAGTAGCTAGTATTTTAAAAAGAAAGAAAAGGGAATAATAAGAATTACATTTGTTGCTTTCCAGGTATAGTGGCTATGAATTAGAGGTCTGGTCACTGGGAGTGACCCTCTATACTCTCATGTATGGAGAGAACCCATTCTATGATGTAGATGAAACCATTAAGGCAGAGCTTACCTTCCCTGTTAGACATTCTCTTGGTAAGATGTTATTTGTTTATGAATAGGAAGTGCAAAAGGTTCTTTTTAAATATGGTTTTGATTTGCAGAGTATTGATGATTCATATTACCTTCGGTTTAAAATATTTGCAGTTTTAAAATAAAAATGGTGTCACACTCCATCTTTGTTTTATTCATATTAAATGATATTTGCTTAGAATTTATTATTTGATTTACTATTTTACATATTTATGCTTTATCCATACTCTTTGACATGAAATAATGGTAGTTATATATACTTAACTCCAGAAGTGCAATGCATATGTAATGAAAATCTGTAGCAGTGTATATTTTTAAACACAATATTATTGCCACTCTTTTCATGTAACATTAAATTTGCACATATGCAACAAGAAAACAAATAAACAAACAGAAAAAAAAAATGAAGGTTCTTAAGTAAAACTTTTTTGTTACATCACTATTTCAAACTTCTTGGAATTCACCTTAAACTTGATTTCATCCTCTGACAGAATTGACTGCCCTTCTCAACGGGATGTTGCAGAAGGATCCTAAAGCTCGTATGACTTTAGAAGAAGTGGAGGCACACCAGTGGACCCAGCTGGAGTGTGACATTGATGATTATGTGTTTGAGGAAATTATAAGATGTTGTAAGTTTATTAACCTCTTTCTTTATTTATCTCTCTATCTATCTATCTATCTCTGTTAGGAAGTATGGGTGCTTGTGTTTTTTTTTCTCTCTCTCTCTCTTGCTCGCTCACACTATCGACAATGGCGCTCAAGAAGTATGAAAGAGGTTGAGAACTGTCACCTCTTTTCTTTGGTCTTACAGGAACAGATTTTTAGAGTAATATGTGCATAAGTACCATAAACCCAGTTGTCAATTGTAATATAGCAATTGTTGTTATTGTGCTGTAGAAAACAATAACATGATCTTGAAAACACTTACCTCCTGCAGGCACTTTTTACAGTGCATCAAACATCATAATCTAATATTTACATATCAGTTTGGATGCTTTCTTACAACAGAGTATCGGCGATACATTTATTGGTATCGCTTCAGCTGTCTTCGAAGAAACAATTAGTCAATTTTCAAGTATCAATGCATCGGTATCACCTTAGACAGATCAGTGTATTGATGCCCGTCACTGCATATGTGTGTGTGTGTGTGTTTGTGTGTATATATATGTATATGTATATGTATAATATAATAGATATATAATGTTTATGTGTATGTTTTTGAGATCTTGAAAATTCAGTTTAAATACAGATTTTCCTTCTGCTGCTCAACTACTTTTTCAGACAGAAATATGTTTTATGAATTCTTGTTGATCACTAAAGTTCATTAAAGTTCATGAAAAAAAGTGAGCATGCGTGCATGTGTTGCCATTTTATTTCATTTCATTTAACACATTCGTTTGCACACAGCTCAAGAGGAGGCCAACCCCAGACAGTACATCACTGAGTACAGTGAGAGTGATAGCTCAATATCCACTGTTTCAAACAGCTTTGTGTATGAACCTTCCATACGGTATACACGACGTTCACTCTCCTTCACTCCTCAGGGGACCAAGAATGATAATGATCATATGTAAGTTGTGGCTTTCAGTAATTTATTTGAGTAGTCTGATTTTTCTTGAGTGTTATGATTATATAGTAATTTTTTTGTGAGAATAGTAAATGGTGCGAAGTTAACTGTTATACTCTAAATCCTTCATGTAAAGGTTATATTTTATGCTGAGTGTTATGGACTTATTTCTTCTTCGTTTCTTTTCTTCCCGAAATCAATTTTCTTTTCCCCAACTCAAATCCAAATTTACCATCAGACGCATGCAGAGGTCAGCCACATCCCTAAGTTCTTCGCGAATAGGAAATGAGGTTGATGATGATGAGTCCATATATGATCAGTCAGCGTCAGTTGGAGCATCTAGAACTTCCACATCACAGTCGATGTCTTCAGTCAGGTAATGGAAATAGGGAGCAGGTATTTTCAAGTAGGCTGAAAACTTTAAGATAATTTTGAGCTTAGCAGAAAAAACATGATGCTAAATTTTAAAAATACTAAGATATTTATTAGAACATTTGTGCTGATTCTCTGTTATTTTTGGTCTCATCAATTTTCTTAGTTTTTCTTGTATTTGTGTAATAATTTTTTGTATGTAACCATTCCTTATCTCTCCACAGAAGTACAATAACCGTTGATTCGTCCTCATTCTCCTGTTGTTCTCCAGCCTCGGACTCTGGTGACAGTAGTGAGACTCAGCTCCAGTCATCACAGTCCTCCTCTTCAGGTATTGAGCAGCAAGTTTTCAGAACTGCATTAGATAACACTCCTGTGATGTCTCTTTTATTTCAAGAGGAAGATTGATATAAAATTCCCTTTATTATTCTGAATGATGGGTGATTGGTTTTTCAAGGGCTAAAAGGCTTTCAGAAAAATAGTTTCTCCTTGCTTGGATTTTTGAGATTTTGCCATCGATTACCTGGAGAAATGGTATTGAGATTCCACCACACTTTCATACTGGATGTAAAAGAGCCCTTACCCAGTATCAGTCTTTTTATGTATTGTATTGTTCTTTTTATTACCGGTTCTAATCTGAAGACTTAAAGACAGCTTTATCTTGATTGATTTTTTTCATTTTTCAAGAAATCGTATGAGGCAGAACAAAGTTTGTTTTTATCAGTCTTTTTTATTCTGCACTTAGCTTGTCATTAGTTTTAAAAATCATGATCTTATGTTTTGTATTCAGCTCTTTTGTCATTTTTGGAAAAGAAAAATCTAATGAAATTTCCTCTTGTCCTTTATTAAGTAATAAAAAAACAACAACATAAAACACCAGATCACCCTCTTCAGTATGCTTCAAAGGAATTTATACTCATGTCTGCTGGACCTGACATGGTCGCAGGAGTTTAATAGCGTTCAGTTCCCTTCTCAGTGATTTCCTTTTTTTTTCTTTTTTCTTTTTTTCTTTTTCTTTTTTTCTATGATAGGCCTTCTGAGACAAGGTGTTGCTTGCTCACATTTTCTTGTACATATTTATATATATATGTATATATACATATATTAATATGCATAGTCCCTCACAGAAGAGGAGAGACATTTCACCCTCTATAAGAAAAGTCTGCATTTCACTTTCCTCCCCAACTTTCAAGATAGCCAGTTCCTTCATATTTTATATAACTGGTCCCCCCGCCCCAATATTTCTATTACTATTAGTAATATATACACTTTTTCTCTCTCATGATTTTATATAGCTTTTCTTTATTAGAATAAGATAGAATATATGACTTGTGCAAGTAGGAAAGAGCTCTAAATCTTGCAGAAAGTTTTAGAAATAATTTTCGTTTTAAGATTTTCTTGTTCTGGTTTATCGGTAATGGCAAGACTCAGATGTCATCAGAGTTTCATTACTTTCTCAAAGGTCTAGAGCATCTGAGACACTTGGCTTCACTATCCCATTTGTTCCTTCAAAGTTGGTTAATTACCCTCCCCCCTCTCTCTCTCTCTTTCTCTCTCTCTTCCTTTTCATCCCATGGTGGTGTAAAAGACTAAAAATTTTGTTTCCACCCTCCTCCCAATATAAGATCTTCATTTGATTTTTTTCTGCAATATAATTTTTTTTTGTCTTTTGCATTTATTCCTGCTTTGTATTTGTGTTATTTATTTATTTCTACTTGTTTATTTATTTTTTTTGTATAGACCCCCTCCACTGAATTGTTTATTTTTTCACGTGTAGGAGGTCTGTAGCAGAGCTTCCTGGCTGGGTTAGAGAGGTATGTATTCTGAAGCATTACTAAAGTCTTCATTGTTTTTGTTCTGTTTTTTGTTTTTTCCTTTCTAACCTTTCGTTTCTGTAGGTTTTGACATTGTGTGAGGAATGCCATTTATGTGCTATAGTTGGATGTCGTATGGTATACTGGTTTCAGTCTGTATCCTTGTCAGTTGACTTAATGATAGAGCATCACATGTTTTAAGTTCTGTGAAGGTGAGTCGTATTTTCCCTTTCATGTATTATTGGTTTTGTATTGTGAATGACTGCTCCTCATGTAATATCATAAGATGTACAACACTCATATTGTACACATGTTCACCTGTCTTTGTTACTCCATACTTTGTACACAAGTTAGTTTACTCCATATTTATATGAAGTCTCTTTATGGAGGTTAATGTAGTTCTGGTCAAAATAATCTTTTGAACAGAGATTGTCTTCTACTTGATGTTCTGTCATAGAAATCTGAATATTGTTTGTGTATTATGACTGTAGAGATGTAGCTGACTCACAACCTCTCAGATGTAGGTATTGAAGTCATACTAAATTCCCAAATGTTCAGTCGTAGGAATCATATTGATGTTTTAGTTTAGTGGAAAAAAATTAGGGCATCTCTTTGTTTCACCTGAAATTTGTAGCTTTTACACTTAGACCTCAGACCTCTTCTAAATGTAAGGCATTAGTTGTAAGGGATGTTGTGTGAACATTTAACAGATGTAGGGTTAATTGTGTGTGAACGAGTGAATGAACATTTATGATTAGTTTTTGTTATTTATTCAAGTATATCACTAAAGTTTTTATATGAATAACAGCAAAGGGGAGAGGTTATTAAACAAAAAATGCAACCAAAAGTAATTTATTTGATTGAAATACATACATGAAATAAGGTAATGGGTACTGTTCCTATGCTTGCCAGAAAAGTTCTAATGAATGTTACTGCAACAATAATCCAGTGAAGTGAGATCATCATTATATCTGTCACTATGTTTTCAAATGCATATTGTAATTGAATCTGAAGATAATGTACCTTGTATTTTTTATGTTGATATTCTAATCAAAAAGAGAATAACTGAAAAATAATAGAAAATATATCAAGTTGCTTGTTTTTTTTTAATTTAGTAAATTGTCATTGATAATTGTAAATTCCAGTTATGACTGTACATGCTTGTGATTTGAATGTGTAAGAATATACATGTAAGAAATTTATGTGGTGAAAAAAGTATTGTCTTGTAAAACTCGGTATTGTGGAAACCTTTTGAATTGTACCATCCCATATATCTCTCTAACAGAATTGTGGAAGACCCATTCTCCATAATTTAATTTCTGATTTGACCTTCTAAGTAAATGTGGTAATTTATTGTTAAAATTATACAATGCTACTATTGTCTCTTTTTTTCTTTTTTCTTTTTTTTCATCTTCTGTCCCATCGTTCTTTTCTTACTCTTTTCTCTTCTCATCTCATTTCATATTTCATCCAAAATTGTGGGTCCCCCCCCCCCCTTTATTCTTGCTATATCTTAAATTCTTGGTTGTTTTTCTTTCCTTTGTTTCTCCATGAAATAAAGCTCAAAAGAAGAGTGTACAGACAAACAGAAGAATGACACGGGAATAGATAAGTATGTTTGTAGTGTGTAGATGACCACAACTTGAAAATAGTCTAGTTAATGAATCACTATTGTATTAAGGAGACTAGAAAGACTGTTGAGCAATACAATAGTTTATGATGTAAGGTAATTGATTTTGAGTGGTTTACCTGTTCCTTTATTTGCGTTAGTTGAAGACTTTACAAGACACATATATGTATAATAAAAAAGAGCTGGTTATTCTGTATATTGTGAGGCCATGGTAAAGATAAAATGTTTCTTAAAATGTGTTAAGTAATGGCATTGTTTTAATTTCTAAAATATGTGCATGTTTTTTGTATGGTGTCCTTCTTAGTTGAAGCAAAATTTTAATTTTTGTTTACTCCGAGTTAAAATATAAGTTGCATTTCACTTTGTTCAAAGTAGGCTTGTGGTATTTTTACCAGTGATATCTGGCTCCCTGCAAGAATTATAGACCATTTCATTAATTGACTGAACCGTGAAATATTTTTAAATTTCTTTGTTGTGTATTATTTGTTAGGATATTTAGTAACTATGAAATATGGAAAAGTATTGTATTTTATGTTCTGTTTTTAAAGGAATGGAACACATTTTATATCTTTGCTTTATTTTACTACAATCATATGATGAGCGTATGGATGCTTGTGTGTGTAGTTGGGTGCAAAAGCTTGCATGCATGTTTCAGTGTCCCAGGTTGGAAGTGAGGAGTTGTTTCACTGGATCATTTAGTGTTGGTATAAATCACACTCATTACTCATGAAATCTGACATATTATCTCCTTTTCCAGTTACCTATTACGATAACGTGAGCAGCTGCACTCTCTCTGGCCGTAGTTCTGAGGGCAGCATCAACCTAGAGAAGACACTAGCTAGGTACTACAGGCTAAGCAACCCCAAAGATGACAATGGCTCTGACTACGAGAATGTAAACAAAAATGGCGATTCCGAGTACGAAAATGTGAATGAGGATGGTGACTCTGAATACGAAAATGCCAAAGATTTTGATGACTCTGACAGTGAGAGCATCAGAGAGTTCTTCTACCCTAGTGTCCCCCTAGAGCGTAAAAATTACGATTTAGAAAAGCCTCCACACAGTATCCAGCAATTACCAGACAATAGAATGGGCAGTTTTAGGCCACATAATCTAGCTCTGCCGGAGCTCCAGTCGTCATGCTACACAGCAGATTGCGAGTGTTCAGACTCAGAATCTAGTATCTCACAGTGGCAGGATGATGATGATGATGAGGACTTTAGGTATATGAATTCAGACCTGCCTGATTGTGACAACCCATTTTGGCATGAGGGGAACTACACCTCACCTGAAAGTGATGACCCTTTTTGGGACGGGAACACCAATGCTTGTGCCTCAGACAGGGAGCTTCATCAGCGTGGCAGAGAATCGGATAGTCTCTAATTCAGGAACAGGATAAAAGAAAAGAGGGGAACTAGAGGAAAAGAAGAAAATGAATACCCTCAGGTACCCGAACCCAATATCTCTGGGAATCGCTCATCTTTCTCCATTTTTGTTTTTTGTATTGAAGGGCAACTTGTGAGGAGTCACTTTAGATTTTACAAGTTTATAAAGAAAAGTGAACAGCTGACTGTGTCCTTGGAAAAAGTCTAGTACTTTGTATTTTGAATATATTTTGATCACTGCATGCCATATAAATGCAAGTCATAACAAAAAGAATAAATCCTATTAAATTTGTGTAGCCTGTAAGCCTGTCATATATCCATTAGCTATATTAACTATATTTGTGCAAAAATTAGCTTAGGAAACTTTTATGATTCTTGCAAATAGATTTGTTATTGTTCTATTTATTAATTTCTTTGGTTTATCAAATGATTATGCAATGTAATATAGTCTGGACTGATGAAGATGTTTCTTTACCTAAAGAACGCTTATTAATATAAGCAGGTGATTATATTGCCTGGGAATATCAAAGAGGGTTGATATTTTTATTCCACTGCCAATATTAATTTCTTTCTTTAGCACTCATAATTTATCATACTTTTTAATTTTTTATTATTATTTTGAGTTGATATTTTCAAGAGATGTACAGTACAAGATGTTTTCTTAGATCAGACATCAGTTGTGCATGTACGTTATGCTTCATCTTTCTCATTTCCTGTGGATCTGTTTTATGTTTCATCTCTTTTATTTTTTACTTTTTTTCTCCAAGTAAAGATAATATGAAACGTGCAGCAACACTAGCTTATTTTGTTATATTTTTTGTTGTTTTTGTTTTTGTCACAAACACCCAAGATTTGTAATAGAAGGAAACCTAGCATCCCAAATCAGGGCTTTCTTGGTGGCTCAACCACTGTCAGAATGATCATCAGGATGCTTGTCTTTAATTATGCACCGTTTTAGGATAAGATGTTAAAGGGGACTGAAAACAAAACTAGTTCAGGGACTAATATACATACATAATTCAATTATTGTTTCACCTTGCTCAGAGCAGGAACAGTACTTGTGTGTTTTTTGAACAGTTAAAAGTCACCATATTTATGAATGGATGTCAATGTTTCATGCATAACAAAAATAAAAGCAAAAAAGTTGTAGTAAATGCAGCATCATTGAAATGTATAAAGCTATGAATCAGAAATTATGGAAGGTGGAATGATAATGGCATTATATTTTGTAATTTTAGCACTTTACCAATGATAGGTTTAAGTTAAAAGGATACTCAGTGCTCTGAAATTTCCAAGTGGAGTGTACAAGTATATTTTCAAGAGACAAGATTGTAATATATTTTGTTTATTGTAGGAAACACATACCAGTGACATTCGCATGATACACAGGAGGTAATACCATAGGTGGAGATCACGATTTTCATTTCTCATGATACCGTGTGCTATAATCATAGGAAGTTTCTACTTTTTATATAGTTTTAAAAAAAGGTTTTCATTTTCAAAGTTAACGTACTTTTAGATGGTACTACATTACTGAAGACTCAAGGAAAAAGATTAAAAATTAGTCATATTAAGATTATAACCATCATGATACTAATCAGTTCTTGCAAATAGTACAGCAGATTCTTCTATGAAATACCATGCATAGAAACCCGGTGGAAGGATACCCTATGCCTCAAATTTCTCATATGCATTGTTAAATTGTTACATTTACAAACTTAATACTTGCAGTGACATTGTGTAGATATCTCATAAAGGATTATTTTTTACTATACCATATGTGTTTAATAAACCATATGTTAAAAACAAGCTGCATATGCTTTGATTAACATAAATGCAAGATCAGAGACCTGGCATTCATCACTGCTGCTACCATATGATATTGTTTACATAAGAATCCTTGTGGCTGTGGTTTGATATGTGTTGTTCCAGGACTATCAAATCATTTACTGTCATTTTGTTATGTTAATGATAAACTCAGTTGATTTGTTTTTCTTAGCCAGAATATTTTCTTTTCTCATCTTTTTTTTTAAGCATTTTAAGCTCTCTTTTTTTTAAGTATGGCTCTGTACATATGTAAACATCCTGTCATCTCTCGTCAACAGTAATTGAGCTGAAATGAATGAGCAAAGATAAAGTATCATATCAAATCTCAAGCATTCAGTGTCTTCTTTGTATACAAATAACAGCTAGTTAATGGGAATTCCAAAGGGGAAATAAACAAAAGGATGAATCTTCTGGCATGTGCATACTTTGAGACCTGAATGAGTGTTGCTAGAAGGGACATTTTAAATCTGTTAATTTCTACTTCAGATAATACCAGTCTGTCTTAACTGTCTAACTGTAGCACCATATATAGAGTCCTTTCAAGCATAACTTCCATAGACAAATAGGCATTCCAAGGCATATAGGGTCAGCAAAGATGCAGTGCCTATAGAACTCTTGTTTCAACTTTGTTAGTGAGTTTTAAGTATTTTAGGGTAATAGTGTGATCTCCGATTCCATGATATATCTTGCCAATAAAGTTTATCTTGTTCTAAGGAATGATTTAATTTATATTTTTTGTCTTAGGTTTGATACATTTAACAACGTGATATTTAAAGGTATACCTGCCTTTGTATTTATGATAAGGGCACATACTTTCC